GTGCATGCGCGTACACCAGTGGTGGGTTTCAAAATTTTTTAGAACCTCTTCTGTAGGTGTGGGCTGCTTTGTGGGAGTGGCTTGTCAGCCATGTGACTGGGCGGGCATGGCCAACTTGTAAAATGTGGTGAAACTCACTTAGCAACGCTCTTGCTTAGCAACCAAAATGTTGGCTCAGAAACTCTGGCATTTGAAGCACTCAAGTCTTAAAGCTGTCAAGTTACAAGACCCTTGCACCCTTAACCCTTTAGGGGAAAAAAAACCCAGGGGTGTTCAAACTTGACAGCTTTAAGACTTGTGGACTTCAACTCCCAGAATTCCTCCTCCAGTCACCTTGGCCCAGGAACTCTGGCACTGAAGTGTGCAAGTCTTAAAGCTGTCAAGTTACAAGACCCTTGCACCCCTAACCCTTTAGGGAAAAAAACCCCAGGGGTGTTCAAATTTGACATCTTTAAAGCTTTAAGGTTTAGATAGGACTCTTAACGGTGGGCAGGGCAATTGGTGAGCCAGCCAATCAGTGAGCGGTGGGCGGGGCAAGCGTGGTGCAGAGGGGCGGGGGGAGGGAGCTGGAACCGGTTCTAAACATCACAGTAGATTTGTGGAACCTCTTCTATAGAAGAGGTTAGAACTGGCAGGAACCCACCCCTGCTCCTTCAGATTTGTTCAGTGCCCTGCAAATACCTGTTACACTAACGAGAGGGGCTTCCATTTTAGTAGTGGGATGCAAGCTCATAGTCAAACTGTGTAAAACATGCCCCAAGTTAGTTTTGAAAATTCTACTATCAAATCAGTGGTGGGTTGCAGGCGGTACAGCCCAGTACGGGTGTACCGGAGCCTGCCTGTAGCACTGGGTACCGTTCCGGTACGGTGCTCCAGAGGGCCCACCCGCCCACCTGGACTCCTTACCGTGTTTTAAAACTGTCGGCGCTTCCGCACACGGCACACATGGACCGTACAGTGCCTGCGCGACACTACGCTTAGCAGCTGGAACGTCGCAGAGACTTGCGGAAGCATCGTTTCCAGCTACAATGCATGCACCCACCACGCGCGTGCATATGGGTGACGCCGTTCTAACCGTATTGGTTGGAATGGAATCCAGAACCCACCACT